GCGTCTGATTGCTGAACTAATCAGATTTATGGTAATTATATATTCTTGTTCGTTTGTTGTATTAGTTTCGCTCAAGGTCAAACGAAAATCGCTCTAGCCTTCAGAAGAGAATTTAAGTCAGTTTTACAAGCTATGATCCGTAATTGATGAGTTCATATAGGAAGGAACCAACCGGGGAGGCGGGGGGTACTCAAGGAAAAGTTTGGGTAGAGGTGTGCCGCCGAGGCCTTCAAACCCCGACCCTGTTTAAGCCAAAAATCGCTCATTTCGCTATCCTGTTTAAGACGAGAGACCTAATTTCTTGACCCTGATTCATTTCGTTTCGCATACAGGATTAAGTAATTTATGAAGCTATTTTCCCTGCAATATTTTTTTTGGAAAAAAAAGGATGTTGGTACCACACTCGTGTAGAGCGCTCATCGCTAACCTTGACACTCTTGTAAAGGCTTCCGATCACAAAAATAAGACACCCTATTCCAGCGGCACTCATACCCTCTAACGCCACACAAGGGAGTGCCCCCACCCCGTGGGGACAAGCTCTTGGTGGGACCAACTGCCTAATGGTATAATACTGCTCTGTTGCATGGATTGGTGAGCCAGGTTGTTGTCAGTAACTAAGCTAATAAGAAGTCATTTTTTACAACAAAACTGAATGCAGGGCTTGCGCTACGGCAAAGGGCTTATTTATCATAGGCCAAAATTCGCCCTTTGCCGTAGTGCCAGCCCTGCATGCAGTTTTGTTTTATTTTACAGTTTAAGTGACGTCTGGCTACAGCATCTCTTTAATTAGAGATCTCGCAAGAGGAACCAGTCAGTTATATTTACGTGTTACGTGGACCACTGCATTCAAACAGTTTTTGAATTTCATTTTTTTACGGTTGTATTAGCCTTGCTTCCCTGTTTGTCATTTTAGTCCTTTAGACAGTATATGTTCATTTGCCTTTATTTTTCTGGCCAAAGTACATCCACCGTGATAATCACCGCAGTTGTTTAGAGTTCCATAAATTTTTCGCTGGCAATTGTTTTAGAGATTACAACTGAGTTACTACGCGCATGCACCGCCCACTTAAAAACAAACTCCAAAAATGTTAAAATAAGTCATTAATACAGTTTTTAGTTTTACAGACAGTTAAAAACGATGAAAATTACAGTTTATTATTTTTGCGTTCAAAATAGTAAAGATTAAAACAAGCTAAACTGCATGAAGACTGATTTCGGCTAGACTTAGCTCTGTCAGGCAGTGGGCATTGCCATATCAGTAAGGAGATAAATTAAAATGCATTCAAAATTAAATGAACAATTGATAAAGATCAGGGGAGTTAAAATTAATGACGTTTCACTCACTCTTTTCCTGACAATTGTTATATCTTTTGAACGTTCACCTTAATTAGCAATGGCCAATAATTGAATCGTGAGGTGAGATCCGATCCGCACATAATCCGTAAATGCACTCATTCAAATATGAAAAAATAGGTGGCCTTAATAGCAATATTGTGTTGTTCCAGTGGCATTTTGTACACAAATGACCTCTCGCCTTAGACGCAGGACGAAGATAACCGAACGAATCAAGGTAAAAACGGTTTTTTAAGTGGTGATGTACATTAACCAGCGTTGAAAACAGGTAATTGCATATATTTAGTTGAGGAGTATAACTTACATACAATTGGATTTGAAAGTAACTTGAACTACTAGAAAAATTCAGAGTCGCCATGTTTAGTAAAAAGTTTGGGAAAAACTATTTTTTTTTACTTCCCTTTTATATATCAGGGAAATCAAAAGCAAAGGAAAATATTAGTTCTTGGCAAAGTCATAAGAGAGTCAGGGAGTTATTTGGCCAGATTGTAGGATTTCGTTATGAATTTTTTTAAAGGAATTTTGATATGAGTAAATTTTAAAATATGTATTTTTAGTGATCCGAATTTTGGAAACAATCTTCTTCTGAGTTGAAAAGCGTAAAAAGGTCGAAAATGAAGAATATTTATAGACTGGAAAACAAACTTAAGAAAAAAACCTGGCAAGTTTGGAGAAAACTTGCCGCGAATGGTCAAGGGGAATATTTATCATTGAGAGATTCCGAAATGAAAATAGCAAATGTTTCGAGCACTGCATTAACATTAAAACCCTTCTAAAGCGTCCTAATTACCTCGTAGAGAGCATCACTTTTAAATTACCTCACTTAATTTTCCTTTTCCATGATATTTTTATCAGTTTCTTGAATTTCTGCGTGGGTATTGGGGGAAAATAATTGATAGTCTTATTTACAACTAAAGAAGACGTTAGGCATTTCTCAGGGTTTTTTTACCCCAGCATAATCTAATAACGACCCGTTTAACTAGGCGATGTCTGGCGCGATTTTTGCTGCTATTCAAGGCCGAGAGTGGGTTCAAATCCAACGTACGTGTAAGCTAGACGCAAGAGCTATTATATCTGCACGTACGTGTACATTTAACAGGTTTTGACCCTTCTTCACTAGTTGGGTTAAAAATTAGACGTGTAGTAAGCAGAGGAAACTTGAAGGTCTTTTCATGCAGTCAAGTTCAATGTAATCTCGACGAGAGTACATAGCTGTTCGCCGAAGTGTCTCAAACTGTTTCTCTATGCTCTAGAAGCCTGGGAAGTGTTTGATTAATTTGTTGCTGCCCTAAACAACTTTTATCTGTTCGGATACCTTGGGGGAACAGTACAGTTTGGTCGTGTCAAAAGTTTTAGGTGATTTTTTTATCTCATCTTAGAGTGTTAGTTATCCTGATGGGTCCGGTCAAGAGTGAGACGTAGTAGCCGTACTTTTATAGGAAAATTCTAGGGGACGTCTTGTCTCTGAACCGAAATTTTCAAGAGACCCTTTTTATAAAAAAAATAATAATCGCAACATCTTGGTGTTAAAACGAGAAGAACACAACATCCGAAGAGCGTAAGTATGTAGAAAGAAACCTTCGAATATCTTTATACTGACGAATTGAACAGTTATCTTGAACGTTTTAGACGTTGCCGAGCTTTAGAAATGTGTAGGCAATATTTTCTCTTTTGAACATTTTTTTTAACGGAAAAATACCGTCAGGTGCCCCTGGCTGATCATGATTACCACAATGAAGACTGACAGAAGTAATCCTGTCTAGTCCAAACTGATTATATACCAGGTGTTCACGCTTGGGAGATTGTCTCTCAGGGCCGCTTTCAAATATATTGTTAGCGTATATTTGGCTTATTCCTGAAAATCTACAAACTTAATCATTTTAAACAAATGCTTCGTCATGTTCTCTTCCATACTTTTGTTAAAATGAGCGTTATTTGCTCGAATACATTCACTCCTCATTATCACTTCAAACTCGAACTCCTACTTTTTCGGGAAGGAAGGGGAGTTAAAATCGTATAAATGAATGTAAGGTTTTGAGTTTTGGAAACATAAAAACCAGGCAGAATTTTCCATTTTTCTTTATTATAGAAAAAAATTCCACTTTGGAAGCTTCTCCTTAAACCCAAAAATGAGTCCCTGTATTAGAAAACTAATGGCTTCCTTTAAAAGGTGTTCAGTTTAGTTTCAGTTTATTCTGAGTTACCGTAAACCATTTCCATCCAAGTTACTACTTTTCAGCTCTAAACTAAGATTCATTTCGACAGAATCTTTTAAAACTTCCCTCCTCGTATCTTTCAAACCAGCGATTTGAATTTTTAAATCAGAATTCATTCTTACGTAAGATATCTTCAGTTTTCCCAATTTTTGCTCGAACAGCTTTCAAAATGAACAGCTGAAATCCTTTTTATTTCGTTTTTAGGCGGCACTTTAAAACCCTTATCCTTTACATATTAATGTGATTTCTCTTTGTAAAATCAAGTGCACTTAATCGTTCAATAACAGCATTATCCAATAATGGTTCTTTTTCACCTGGAAATTTCGCTTGCCTTTTGCGGAGGCTTTTCTTTATCACGGAACATAAGCTATGTTAGTGGGTTGAGTGCAACGACAGCAATTAAGCAATTTATAAGAAGAAAATCGGCAGAGACCTTCCAAAAAAAGTAAGGAGTATAAGCTGGGTGTATCTTAGCTTCTTCTTACTTGAGTATTCCAAATAAATGTAATTTATATAATGTCACATTTCATCAAATTATCAGCATTTGAACATTTTATGTAATTATGTCAAAAAATTCTGCGAATACTATTCTCACTGCATACACAATTGGCCCTTGACGCGGGAAATAAGAAACTCTTTAAATTGCGTCGTGTCGTGTCGGGCGTGCGCGCTGGTGGCAAGATGCATTGCGGCCCTTGGTTAGAATTAATCGGTCTGCGCCAGTTCAACGGAGTTCAGTGGAAGTGATTTCAAGTTTCGCCCCTTCCACCACCCCTGGTGTCGATTGACGTCGCAAACCCTCATTACTTGGCATGCCTATATTGTGCTGGCAGTCGCGGTTTCCTCCTATAACTTAGTTCCCTTGACGGGACAATGGGTATGCAATGCGAATATTATACAGTTATTTGTTGGATCGTTACTAGGGACACGGCGGTCAGCTATTGGCCAATAGAGAAGAAAAGTGTGACGGAGACGACCATATCCATTGTCGAACGATGGAAGAAAAGTATAGGGTATCTCTTTGTTCTTGAGTGCGATCATGCACAGCCGGGGAAAGTCATACAAGTCAATTTTTCTTTTTTTAATTTCGTTATTTGCAGGACCACACGGTTTGTTGAGATCCAACAATTTTGCTACCATGGCAACGTGACGTAACGACCTCTTCTCTCTTTTTTTTTCCCTATCCCTATTAACAGTCCCAGAAGTCTTCGCGAAAGTTGCCGTAAAAATCCGAAAATAAGCCCCTCCATGTCATAAGCCCCTCCAAATATAAGCCCTCCCAAACTGGTAACGCAAAAAACCCTCCGTTAAATCGCCTCTCCAAATATAAACCCCCTAGGGGCTTGTCCTTGGAAAATTGCCCTCAAATACAAAGTAAAACAAAGTGTTTCTAAGCCTATGTTTTTGACTCTGCGTTTCAGGAAATAAAAGATGGCTGCAGAAAACACAAGCTTGTTTCCTTATCAGAAGTGCTTGATGGTTGCCCTCTCTGACAGGGAAACCCAGCTACAGTTAAGGGACATCACCAACTATGTCATCATCCCTGTTCAAATACTGGTGATCTTTGTGTCACTCGCTTGTAACGCATTTGTTGTCATCACTGTAGCACACACCCAATCCCTCCGGCAACACCCTCCACAATTAATGCTCAGCAGTTTGGCTATCACTGATGTAATATTTGCTTTGAACGCTCTCTATAGAGACATACTAGTATTAGCACACGAACACAAGTGTCCTAACAATACAACCAACCCTGTCTTTGCTAGTCTGTATATACAAGCAACCCTCGGAAATATGGCAATTATCAGCGTAGACCGTTACTTAGCCGTGCGAAAGCTGTGGTGGTACCGTGCTCACATGACTAAATCTCGCGCCCTTAAGATGATAGGTCTACCGTGGGTTGCAACTGTAGTAGTTACATCGTTGTTGTACCTAGAAAGCTTGTCTGATGGTCCATTCCCTTTTGGCAAAATCATTGCTTTTTTGTTTTATTTTCTTTGCATATTTTGTACAATCTTCTCTCATATTTTCTTGTTCTGTAACAAGACGCCCCCCGAGGAAGTTATGAACATACGCCATGTATATAAAAGGGAAAAACGATTGGCCAACACTGTAGCCTGGATTCTTTTGCTGTTAGTAGTGCTCTTTCTACCTGGTACCATTGTTCCTTTGGTTTTAATCGCAGCTAACGTGCCAAATGTTCCAGCCTATGCTCGATATAGCGTTTTTCTTCTCTTGCTTAACGGGCTGTTAAACCCGTTGGTGAATTTTGGAAGAAACAAAAGAATGCGTAAAGCTTTGAGAAAGTTAATGACGTGCTCCCAACAAGTAGAGCCAGTCTTGTAGCAGCTCTCCTAACCCTAAAAGCCAATTGGTTTGGTGCCCTAACCATCAAACAATGGGAAATAATGATAAACAATAAAGTGGTATTGTTTTCTGCGACCAATGAGGAAACACCTTACGAGCAGCTCCTCCATTACCTCGGTCATGCAGTTGACATATCCTCCTTCCCAGGCCCTTGAGAAATCACCCGAGACGAGATGAATACCTCGAGAAAAAGGGAAAAAGAGAAGAACGATTGGAGCCTCCGTACTTTGCGCCAAAGCACGGACGAAGACGGGGGGAGCTTAGGACAGGCTTGAGAAAAGGACGTTATTTCCTGTATATATATGCGCGTTATAACAGTCAATATCACGAATAAATGTAACTTAAAAATCCAGAAACGTTGTGACTCACGGATTGAAGCCTGTTGAGTTCAGGGATCTTTTATTTGAAAATGTACATTAGACTTAACCCCGCTCCCCTAATACTCTCGCCGCGCAACTGCATACGGTGAAAAATAGGGACTTTGCGATCCGATGGCAACGAGAACGTCAAAAAGGTTTAGAAGGTAAGACGACAACTTTGTACGTTCTTCACACTTTCTTGTACATTTTTTTTGCCGTTTTTGCATTACTACGACGTATATCTAATTGTCTAATTTTACATTTTATGGAAGACGTAGACAAGCGACGATGAAATTTAATTTTGGGTCTTTCTTAATTTGGAATTCAACTCCAGGGGGGCTCGCCTACTTCTGATAAAGTAAATGGGTAGGAATAATCGCGATAAACACTGAAAGAACGTAAATCCACTTTTTAGACGACTTTTTCGCTGTCATGGCGTCGTCGGATCGTAAAGACCCTAATATCATGCAGGTACGTGGACGAAGATGGAGAGCAAGCTTTCAGAAACAGGCAAGGTGTATTATGGTCTATGTGAAAATGGTGAATGGTTGCCACGAAAATCAACACACCAGAGTAGCAGAATTTTAATTCCTTTAATGGTTTGCTCTCTGTACACATGGTGAATATAAAAATAATACTAGGCGTGAATTAGAACACTGACCTTATCCGTGTAAAAATCTATACATCTTCAAGAAATAGTTTTCTTTCCTTTAAAGAATAAAATTCCCTCTACAATAATCATTTGCAACCGTATTTAATTTGAAGATTTAAATCTGCACCAAACACGAACGAAGATTTAAATAAGACTTGACAACTGACATTTTACAATCGCTAAGTACAGTTATCTACGAAATTGGGTGATGGCAAATTATTCTTTTCCCCATAAAAATATCTAATGAGATAATAACAACCCATGGTAAAATAACTGTCTTTAATGAATTTCGAAAAATAAAAGACCAAACGTTGTTCTCCCCTTCAGAAACGTTAGGGAGAATGAGTACATGCTTTGGGCGCAGTGATCTCTGGGATCGTTTGTGTGGACAAGCGTTAATTACGATTGGTCGATGGTATTCAAGGCAACCAAGTAACGCTTGTCCAACCCAAAGATCTCGGAAGTAGTTGCGCCGAAAGCTTGTACCCCATTCCCTTGTGGTTTCTGGATAGGGGAATTGGAATTCCCCATTCTAGGGCGTTATGAATGCTATGCGGCCATGTGACTGTCGCGTACAAGACATGTGACTATTAAAAGGGACAATGGCTTTCTAGTCATTAGACATGTGCGTATATGGCGTTAAAATCTTTACACTTAGCTTAATAAGTAACTGTAATAGATTGGCTAAAATCCTAATCACCTGACCATCCTTATCGCGACCTTTTTGTTATGGGTCTACGTAGACGTTCTTGCGGGGTTCGTCACGCGTTCCCGCCTCGTTGGGGAAGACTGCGTGACGAGAAAAAAAAAACGTCTGCGTGGGAAGCTACATGAGAGGCTAGGGTCCACGTTGCTCGCATTTTTAACCTTGTCACGGAACATCGTTACATGGTGTCATGAGGGAATTTCGTGACGACGCGTACTGTGCATAAGAAACGAAATCCATTATCACGCGATCTCACGCCACACTGGTGCTTCTTGACCTTTTTCCTTCTCTTGGTGGTTAGATGTCGTGTTTTACTCATGAAAAGAGTATTTCACCACTCTAACCAGCTAGAGAACACTAATCACTCTAAAAGATATAATTTGTACAAGTTTACATTGGCAATTAAGCAGCCACTATCGCCTGGGTTGTAATTGATGCCTCGCACCACCAGGAGCAGAAGACCGCTGATCGTCCATTCTGTTTGACTGCAAGCGAAGTATGAGACCGAAGAAGTCCTCGTCTGGTACCGTGGGCGCAGAAGGCGGAGGCTCTGAGCGCTGATCCTCAATACGATGAGACTGAGGGAAGACAAAGTCGTAGTTTGTTTAGTGGGCCTCGAGAAAATGAGGGTTCTTATGTTATTCAGGGGTAGCTATGGGATTTATTCATACTGGAACTAGGTCACTCAACAGATCAGAGTACAGGTAGTTGTTGTAAAGTACATTTTACTCGTGCAGTGCCTGCTTTTTGAATTTAGTTTATCAGGCCGATCATACATCAAACAAAAACCTATTTCACCTTTGCTTCTACCCTTCCAAAAATGAAAAAAAATCTATTCGCGTTTCAAGTGGAATTTATTCGTGTGTATTGGACAACCCTAAAAATTCAAGCTGAAAAGGTTCATATTTAACGGGGTCTAATTTCCAATCAGCTACTTGGCTCCTTTATCCAGTGGATAAATCACTATCCAGTTGAAAACGCAATTCGTTTTCCCAGTGCTTATCCGCTGATAGTGATTTATCCGGTGGATAGCGCTGTCCAACGTTTGAACAACCGGATTCTGGGCTCTAAATTCGTCATTTTCACATAAACCATAACGCACCTTGTTGACCCCCAACATTTTGGCATAATCATTGTCTTCGATTTCTCTTGAGTCGACTATAAAACTTAGGAGAAACTGGAAACAATGGTCTATGTGAAAATGGTGAATCCACAAGGTTCTTATACACAGTTGTTAACTGTAGTTCAGGTTAAATCCGCTAAGGTTGGGAAAAGCCAATAATAAAACAAAATGGGGATAATTTTGCACTGAACTTGACTTCTTACATATTTATTCCATGTCCGTTAACAGAAAGGAAAAAAAAAACCTTACCTGACTTCGGAGCACCATTTCGTACAGGGCGTCATCACTGGTACCGCTTTCCCCCTTCTTGGACCTTTTTCCTTATTACAAGAAAAATAATGATACAACTTCACATTGGTTTCAAGTACAAAAGTAACAGCAAAATATCAAATTCTACTGGTTACATGTAAGGTCACCAAGGCCTCGTTTTTATTGGGAAGAGATGTCCTGGAGAGGAGGGTCACCCTCCGAGACAACTTTTTAAAGTCTTGTCTCGTCGTGACCGAGTTGACCCGGCTGGGCGAGCCAAAGTGTTTATATGGGGAAGGCCCNAAATTCTACTGGTTACATGTAAGGTCACCAAGGCCTCGTTTTTATTGGGAAGAGATGTCCTGGAGAGGAGGGTCACCCTCCGAGACAACTTTTTAAAGTCTTGTCTCGTCGTGACCGAGTTGACCCGGCTGGGCGAGCCAAAGTGTTTATATGGGGAAGGCCCAGCTACAAGGTGACCCGACCATCGAAAAAGGGTCACCCTTCTAGACGAGCCAACGTTTTGTTTCTCATAAAATATTCGACAAGTTTTTTGAAACTTTGGCTCGCCAAGGGTTGTTCGGGTAGGCGGGTGACCCTTCTACCGGGGATAAGTTTTCTCCAAGGTGAGAAAAGGGGGGATTAGGATACAAGAGTGACTGATGCGCGCGTCATGTCTTGTCTTGATCCCCACCCCCCTTCGGGATCAATACGGAGCTTAAGCAACAACCACGGCGACGGCTACCAAAACGTCACTTAAAGAGTGAAGTCGCGCTGCTTCAAACTTAATCGCGCTTATTCCAACTCCTTCAATTCGTCAAATGTTGGCAATTTTTTTCTGGAGTTTAATTCTAAAAGACTTTATCGAAGTGCAGGAGAAGAAAAAGAAAGTCGTTGTCTTGTGTTCAGGTCCTCCACAAAACAAGAAATTAGGTATTTTCATGTCGTGAACGTGCAACAACGGCAAAGAAATGTTATTAAACCAAATTAAACAATGATTTGGAGGTAGCACATCCACGAAGTGGTTCTTCGTCTACCTGATTCCTGGTCGAATTGGAATTTGGAAATGCTGGTTTTTGAGGAGAGGGGAAAACCGGAGTACCCGGAGAAAAACCTCTCGGAGCAAAGGAGAGAACCAACAACAAACCCAACCCACATGTGGCGTCGACGCCGGGATTTGAACCCGGGCCACATTGGTGGTAGGCGAGCGCTCTCACCTCTGCGCCATCCCTAGCCTGCGTGCAGACGATAACTAAACGCTGATTAGTACCGTCTGCGAAGCAGCGCAGAAATCCTTGTTCTGAACCCCCAACGGACTCAACGAATTACCGGAAGTGCGTTTCGAATTTCCCTTCAACCTGATTGGCGATCACGACAAACAAAACAAAGACCTTTTTTAACTGGCTAATCGTGGCGCGTACTCAAATCTGGGTACACAGCTGGAAGTCCAGAACAAGGATTTCGGCGCTGTTTCGCAGACGGAGTTAACCAGAGTTTAATTTCGTCTGCGCGCAGGCTACGCCATCCCTTGCTCCCCGAAATGTACAAAAAAACGTGATGTACGTGCAAAGTTGTGGTTTTGCTAATCTAAACCTACTGTTTTTTTCCCCGTTCTCTTTGGCGTCGCCGTCGTCGCTGCTTAAGTTCCCTAATATTATATCACGACTACTCATATATCACGATTGCTCATATAATACGTACTTATCAGTGAAGGGTCTTCGTCGGCAGGCAAGTCACTGCGTTGTTCATTCATTCTGTCTCCTTGCACACGTTCCACCATGTCTAACATATCCTCAGTGCTTTTGCTCTTTTCGATTGGTTTAGGTAGCTCGCAGCGCTGTTCGTCCATACGGTTACCTTGGCAACGGGTTAGGAACTCAAAGAAATTCTCGTCCAAGGAGTGATCGTTTTTCGCCTAAGAATAACGACGGGAAAAGAACGATGTCAGGTTAAGAAAAGAATAAGGTTGCGAGTTTAATATATTTTAGAAAACCTTGCTGGAAAAACCTCTCGGCGGACGGCAAACAAATGTGGCTGAAACACTCCTCACGCTGACGGAAACTTACGTCATATAAACGAAATTGAGAACTCCTGCGCACCTGCCTCCGACCGACCGCTGACAACTGTCACTACTGGCTCTTCTTGTAAAACTCCTTTCGGTTGTACTCAATACTTAAATGAGTTGGTCAAGTGCGTCTTAACATTAGTTTTCGTTTTTTGGATAGCAGGTAGACACAAACTTTCATTATACTAACAAGTCAGACAGTGGCAGATAAACAAAACGAATGAAATTAAAAGTCCCCCAGTGAGTTATTCAAATATCCTAGATAAAAGGCACTTTCTAAATTTCTACTAATTAGTTTTAATTAGAGTTTCTAAGTGAAAAATACGTAAGGCACGTTTGTCAATAAAACGGCTAATTTACAAGCTACCAGCGTCCTAATGGGGCAGATCCTCTTTTCCGAAGGTTATTGCCGAGATTAAATCAAATCAGTTATTTTTGATATCTTTAATCCGGCATCTTCGCCATACATTTTTTAGAAATGGCTTCAAGATAACGATGGAAAAGCGTAGTCTCCAACTGGTTCATCGCAGTTATTACATCAGGAAGTTATTTTAACTTAGAATAGGTATCAAAAACTTAAATATTGCTCACTGCTTACCGAGAAAGAATTCCAAGCATTCGTAAAGACCACCATGGCTGCTTACTTGGAGTTGCAATATAAAATGACGCTTACAGTTTCTTTGTTTCCGAGTAATTTTAATTACATTTTTTTACCTTTATGAAGTTGTTGTCATGCACCACTTAAACAGAAGAGGTTTGAGGAATTTGCTCAATATAAATTGAATATTTAAGTTCTAAACGCGTGAAATTAAAAAAAGAAAGAAACGGCTACAACAGAAGTGATGAAAACAACTTAACGTGCCAATGATTTGTGTGTGAAGGACACTCGGAAATGGCGAAGCACACTCGGAAATGTTCATTTTTATTTTCATGCAAATAAACCTCACTTCAAAAGAAAAATCTTGCACTTGGTCCCACTTTAAAATTGAGGGTATTTGGAACTAGGAAACGGTCTATTCAATATTTCAAGAACAAATGGAATGTTGAGATGATGTTGACGAAACGTTTAAACGAGTTTAAACTGCTCACAATGTAACAACGTTACGCAGAACAATGTTAAGACAGGCTATCAAACGGTGTCAGTAGATGCCGAGAAAGAGTCAGGATTCGCAAAAATATATTCGTATAGAACAGCTCAAATGGTTAGATGCAAATTACTAAGAGCGTCACTGAATAAAAATAGCCCGGGAAGCAATAACGTTACGCATCATTTTTCAGGGACAACTTTTACGATACTTGCGTAATATAAAGCATGAGTGAACTTACAGTAACTGCATAATTTAAAACTAGAGAATTATACTAAAAAGCGATATGACGAATTATTTAGTCCGTAAGTGGTTGCAATCTAAGAAATGAATGTCCTTTTTCTCATATGTCACACTCGCATCAACGTTTTACATTTATTAGAATTTCGCATTCAGTCTGCTGATAAGTGTTTGATAATGGTCATAGAGTTCACCTCGAGACCAAACTATACTATTAACTGACAAAACAGTTTGCCTGGCTTTGACTCTTGAAAACAGTAAGCTCCAGCGACTTTTCAAGCAAACAGCCTGCGAGCAAGCTCACTTGTTCGAGTTTGGCTGGGATAATTTTCCCCGAACTCCACAAGTGAGCCTTTCCTCGAGGGGTGGCGGTTCTGCCGCAAAAATTATCACCAATCTAGCATAGGCAAGCCTGCTCGCAGGCCATCCAGCATAATAAACCCGATACTGCGAGTCCACAGTTTTTTAAAATTATTTTTCAGCTTACCTCAGGACTGCGAACGCGGACTTCAACGTCACCATGGTCTAATGGTTTTCTGGAGGTCAACGATGACGAACGAGCTTTGGTACCTCCCTGAAGAAAATAAGAAAAAAAAACTCCTTTCATTATTTTTACTCTGAACAATTCCAAAGTGCTAAATTATGAGAAAAGGTGAGTCGCAAGTGAAATACTCGTACAGCATAACAAAGGAGTAAAATTCCCATTTCATTGGACGAGCAAGACCTTCGGATGTTTTTGCTTTTTCAGTTGAAAAGTTTTCCAAAACATTTTCTAACACCACAAGTATCAATAAAGCATAGCACAGAACGATAGAAGTGACTACCATACCATAACACTCAAGAGATCTCAGAGTCGACTTATAAAAACTTTGCTATAACTTGATCAGTGAAACCCCGACAAGAGTTGGGGAAAAGCGTCAGTTATTTCACGCTATATCATCTGAATTCTGGCCTCAAAATCTTGTTAATAAAACCTTGGACTTGTTATGTAATACGTCATCGCGCTTAAGTGACACTTGAAGAGACAGGCATGGCTTTGACGTAACGAAATCGACGAAAAACAAAACAGACGGATTAGAGCTTTGTGTACGGGTCTTTAAAGCTAAAGTGTATAACACGTGATAATGAAGTTAACAGGCGAGACATTTCTCATTATTGCAATATTAACTTATTTGCCTTGTAAAAAGTAAAAGAAAAGGAGGAAATAAAGATGTGTTGAAATAAAAACTGCTATGTTTTTCCGTCTGAATAGCTGCTTTTCATTTGAGCGCTAGAACAGTTCCATTGTTTTTTTTCGTGATATTGATTCCCCGAGGGGTTACCAAAAAGCACTTAAAAAGATCCCAGCGAACACAGATCCAATATTTTCAGCAATAATGAAATTATCGCTGCTGTGTGTCGTTTGTATGATGGCGTACGTGCTGAACGTCAGCTATAAAGGATTCTTAACAATTGCAGAATCTTAGTTCTTCTTTGAGCGCCTTTTCAAAGAATCTAACATTTTTGGATACAACTTGTGACGACGGTTTCATTATCTTCGTTGCCATGGACGATATCCATCACAATCACATTGCGGGAGGATGACGTCGGACCGACATGTTGGAAAATGGGTATTACAGCGATACTACATTGCCAAAAAGATACTTAATGAGAAAAAACGACATAGATGCGATTTTCTATTCGCCAAAGGAATTAAAAAAACCTAAGTAATGCTTATTAATCACCTGAAGCATTTCTGCGGTAAAGTTTTGTGAGTATTAAGAAATATTTGTTGTTTTTGCTCTGTTCGCTCGTAGGTGGAGGAACACTATATCGCGTCCACGCTATATCGCGCAACGCTCCAGGCCCAGGAAGTGTAAACAAGTGGAGAAAGAGAAAAACGAAAAACAACAACAACATGGTGAAGTACTAAAAAAGGCGACCATGCATGTTTCGAGACATCCGGTACTCGGTCAAAATTTATCGGTGTCAAATGGTTTCTTATTAAGCAAAATTGTTACAATGTTGGCCAAGTTCAGTTGGTCCCCTTGACCACACCTTAATGGCTCATATCAATGTCTGATCTGACTAGACTGTCTGAAGGACTACTCATGATCATAAGCTGCTTAATAAGCAAACGGCAAATCATCAAGGTGAAAGTTTTGCACAGAACGTGAACATAACGTGGATATGTATTTTTCTTCTGAACTTAAAACGAGAACGTGGAATTGCGCTCTTAAACAACGGAGCGCGTTTGCGAGAATCTTCTTGGTTCAGTACTGTTTCCTTGGCATCGCCAAGTTCCCTAATTCAAAACAACAACTTTGACGGCCAAAAAAGGTGAAAGGAAG